CCCCCCCATAAGCAGAAGCAGGCCCTCCTTCACTGCCCTCACCGTCTTCAGAATATGACGTCATCTGCCGCCGTCGAGCTCAACGAGGCTTACCGTAATCGCTCCGGCCTGAAGCTGCTACATAATTTCTTCAATCGATTAACTGGTGAATAGCTTCCCAGAGACACTAGCTGTGACTGTGCAAGACCGCTTTTGACCAGCTTTCAGGGACATCGTAAAATTGCGTTTTGAATGTGGAGGGAATGACTCATTTTTTGCCACCCCCCCCCTGTATAGCCCATAGATAACACAAAGAACTAGGGAAGAACACGGTCATCTGTAAAAAAAATAAATGTGATGGGTGTGGCATACATAGTTGCCACAATGTCCGACGAGGTGCAAAAATGGCGGCATACCTGGTTGCCACGCTGTCGTCAAGGTGTTAATTAATAGTTAGCATAACCAATATGATGTTCTGTCTTTCTGCTGCAATGGCCAAGATGCGAGCGAATAAAGGTCGGCGCCTGGGACAGGGGAGCCACCAGGAGGTGTTGCAAACCTCGGAAGTACACTAAATTGCTTTTGTTTGTTGAGTGCTCCGCCAGTCATCCTTGTTAAGTGGCTTCAACCTACAGCTCTACTCGGCGTATCATCCGCTTAGAAACCTTTTTTTCTAGTGAGCATTTTACCTTATTGGGTGAAAATGTAGTTCGGGGGGGCACCCTATCTAATCGAGGTAGAGTTGCGGAAAGACACACATATCTAATCAAAGTAGAGTTGCGGGAAGGCACTTATATCTTATCATATCTTTCACTGAGACCGTGGCCTACGACTAGTACGCTTACCCTTGTCATATTATTCTATGGCTAAAATGGCTGCTACCTTGCTGGCTCTTCACTTTCACCAAACCTTCTTGCGACTGCCATGCGAGCCCTCGAAGAGAGGACCTTTCAGGTATCCGATTTTGTATGGAATCTCGGGTTGGTATCCCTATCTAATCATACACTCAGAGACTGTGTCTGGATGGTGATTAGATATGACCGCCCTTCCGCAGCTCCACTTCGATTAGATATTGCCAGTTCGATTAGATATTATGAGTGCCCCCCCCAAACTACATTTTCACCAACTTAATGAGTTGAAGTTGTCCTGATCAGTAGCCTTGAAAAAGCACCATGAAGAATGAATTATAGTGTATTTCCTTCCAGCTTGATTGATGAAATCAATGCTCTGGAGGCGTCCGTGAACGCAACAAACTCTCCGTACTTCGACCAGATGGAGCAAATGCAGGCAACTGCCACACAGATGGATTCTACGCTTTCTCAGTTGCTGAGCCAGTTAGATGTGAGTTTCAACGCTATTACTCGCACTCCACCTCAAAAGAGGCATTTTAGCCTGTTAATGTACTACTGGCTCTAGTGGTTGTCATGCCCACTCACAAAAGAAGATATCTCTTCAGAGTTACCCGATAATATCCTGTAATTTCAAAACCGATTGTTATTCAAAAATATTAAACCAGATAGAACTTCAAGCCAAGGTGCAGAAATGGCAGAAAGTCCTGGCAGAAGGTGGGCTCCGGCTGAATGTCAAGAAGACCAAGTTCCTGAGCTCCGAAGAGGGTGCAGAGCCGATCGTGGACGGCCATGGTGAGACCATCGAAAGAGTGGAGGACTTCCGATACCTTGGGAGCGATCTGGCAGCCGACGGTAGTGTGGATCAGGCGGTGAAGGCTCGGGTCAACGCTGCATGGATGAAATGGAGGGAGTCCACTGGAATCCTCTGCGATCGAAGGTGCTCCAGAGCGCTCAAAGGGAAGGTGTACCGGACAGTGGTAAGGCCTGCGATGCTCTACGGCAGCGAGTGCTGGCCCCTGAACAAGAATCACGAAAGGCAGCTTCACTCCGCCGAAATGAGGATGCTGAGATGGGCCTGCGGCTGGACGCGGCTGGACAGGGTAGAAACGAGGATGTCAGAGCGGTCATGCAGACTGCCCCTGTCCAGCTGAAGGTACGGGAACAGCGTCTGCGATGGTATGGGCATGTGCTAAGGAGGCCACAGGACCATCCGATAAGAACAGCGATGGACTTCGAAGCGCAAGGCAAGCGACCGCGAGGAGCCCCAAAGAAGAGGTGGAGAGACGTAATCAAGAAGGACCTAAGTGAAGTCACGGCCACAGCAGAAGATGCCCTGGACAGAGCAAAGTGGCGACGACTGACAAAGACAGCGGACCCTGCGACTGCGCGGGACTAACGCTAGGGAGAAGAAGAAGATTCAAAAATATTAAACCGGGTTCGGTTGCGAAGTCAGCTCAAAAGGTCGTAATGAATAACGCAGTGTGTGTATCACCACGAAATGGTAAAATAGGAAATGAATAAAAAAAATTGAATAGGCACTTTCACAAATATCTTTACTCGATGAAGTAAGCTCTACGGCGACACTTGTGAATGAAAGGGCTCTATTATGCAAACGCAGAGGTAGTGCACCGTACTGAACACCGCCAAAACTGTTTCCACGCTACTCAATCTGATTACGAGCACTAGTCTGCAAACACTGAAGCTAAATCAAGGCCACTAAGGCTGATTAAGGCCGGAAGGAGAGGGCCAACTACAATACTATGGGTCCACAGTAGAATGGTGTATGCGATTCACGATTCCTTTTCTACCCCATTACGCCAATTTGCCTCTGTGTGGCCGCGTGCTGCACATGGTGAAGCACGGGTTTTTGAAGGGTATTTTCGACATTTTCTCGTGCTCCAATTATATAGGAGTGAAGATCTGAATCCGGAGAACAACATACAGACGTGGGACTGTGCAATGCGAACGAATTCCTGAATTACTGGTATTTGTTGTGAAAAACCTCTCAATTTTCTCGCCAAATTGTAGTAAAAGTGAAAGAGCGGCTGTGTGACAACTTCGAGCATATAAAACAATCAAAACGACTACGTTTTAATCACTTTTATCTCTTTTTCCTTACTTATATTCTTCAAAATACATTTTCAATTCTGTCGCTTTTTCGGTTACCCTACTCTCTATACCGTACAATAACAATCGATTCCACAAAAAAATTGATTGAAAATTGAACAAAAATATTAAAAACACAAAAACAAATAAACAAATACAAATACAAATAACATTGAACAAAAATAAACGTGAAATATTGTAATGTATAAGATATATGTACTGTGCTTATATAATAGATGTTTATAATATAAATGAAAGTTTTATATGGATCGCGCAGCACGCGGCGGGGGTCTAAATAGGCGCCGGCCACACGCGCCGGCCAGCCAAAAAACGCCGCGGTACGCAATGGGTTAACATAGGAAGTGATGATAGCAAATTTGAGTGTGCCACTTCTACAAAGTGGGCCAAAATTATTGAAACCGAGACATTAAACTACTAAAAGCGAATATTAACCTACTGAAACAATCAACTTCAGAAAAAACGTATCGTATCAAGCGACGCATGAAAGAATCGGGTTAAAGCGCGCGATTTCGGAGAGTAGAGACAAATCGATCGATAGAATAGGATGGAGTAGAAGTGTAAGATGTGAATGCAATAAAGCAGAAGGCCAGAAAGAGTTTCTAGTGAAGGCACTCCAAGAACCAAGTGGAAGCATCCCCGTCGCCAGCATTTGTGAAAGACGTCCGTGGGCAATTGAACGCGTAGCAGCCCTTTCGATTTTTCGAATTTTTACCAAAACAAAAGCAATATTTCTGTTCTTTTCATTCTTATCGTGGATAATGAGTCTCAAGCCAGTGATTTATGGCTGAAATAGAATCATGATTTTTCCGCGCAAGATTCCTTTAATTTCTCGCCCATCCTAATCACAAGAGATTATCTTTTGCTGATTTCTACCTCCCTGAATAGTTCTGCCTCTTAACCAACTGATTCGAAATCTTAAGCTCCTGCTTCTTCTCTATAGTGAAGGCGAATCTTCGTTTTTTGGGTATACATTTCGTACTACATTTTCAAACCTACTCTTCTTTTGCCCACGTACACGGTGAATGTGACTTAATTGACCGCTTATCTATGAAATGCCACTTTTTCGATTGGCTTGATAAAAAAGCGGAACAAGTAAACATGCCTCTAATTCATGACAGTTTGTAGATTCTAGTAGTTTGTGATCCAATTGAAAATGCTCTGTTTGAGCCAACATACATTCCTTTAAAGTTCGGGGCCCGAACTTCGTGGTCGGAAAGAAGCAGAACTTTTTGGAGTACCTTGTATAATCTTTGTCGAATAAAGGTGACAACAATTCAATGTGTTTCAAATTTCTGAAAGAATCTTCTTTACAACATTTTTCAGTTTATTTGACTAAAATACTAGTCTAGAATTTTGTGCTGTGTTTGACAAATTTTTCTACAGAAACGCAACAAATGATGTGGTGAGGGTGATTCAATATTTTTGAGTTTGCACACATTACTTTTCCTCCAATTTTTTTGAAAATTTTCAGGAACAGAACGAGCGCCAAGATAAGTTGTCCGCGACAGTGGCGAACTTCACCAGCATCTACGGTTGCTTTGCTACCAGTAAATGCGTTACGCCTGTATGGTTTGAATCTTCTGCTTTTAAAATTAACCTCCTCAGAGGCACTGAAATCGCAATTCCATTCAATCGGAGCATTTCAAAGCGCTGTGGGACTGTAACGTCGTGTTTTGAAGTAGGCCGAAGGCTTTAGAAGTATGCTCACCGCTCAAGGAAATTTTGCGGCATCTGACTCCATTTCTCGGGCCTGAAATACCATTATCTGCTCGCCAATATAGCCGCTGTTTTTATGGCAATTATCATTTAAGAGCGGATTTATATAAGCCTGAAAAGAAGTTTACATAGTACTAGTATGTACTTTATAAAAAAGTATATGTTGTTACTCTGACCCGAGCTCAAAAATAATTTGCTTCTACTTTTTCACTAAGCCTTTCTTATGATCGAAATTCCAGTACTCTTCCCAATTAACTACGCATTGAATGTGGCCGAAATGGTTTTGTGGTCATTCATGTTTTGCATAGTTATTACTCAGAATATGGGTGTGAGGCAAGCGGCGGCGCTCGCAAAATTGCGCCTGTCCCACGTGGCCAAAAACGCGTTTTCATCAATATTTTTACCTCCTTTGTTGTTATTTACTATGTTATCATTCTACATCCTACTATATATAATTCGCTAAGTATGTCTGTGTGTGTGCGTCTGTTTGTCACGAAATTCATAGCGCGCTTCCCTGCAGCAATGGAGCGCTGTATTTTGATATGATATAGGGGGTGGGACGGGAACATATTTGGTGGGGGAACGGAAGTGATAACGACTGATAAGAGGCGCTGAAAGTCAAATTTCACGAAATTCAAAGTGGGTGTCCCAGCAGCAGCGATGCGTTGGTTTCGATAAGTGATGTAGAGGGTGGGACGGGAACATGTTTGGTGGGGGACAGAAAGTGATAAGGCTGATAAGGGTTGATAAGAGGCGCTGAAACGCAAATTTCACGAAATTCAAAGTGGGTGTTCCAGCAGCAGCGATGCGTAAATGCGGAAAGTGATAACAACTGATAAGGGTTGATAATAACGGCATGCACAAGAATGTAGAGGTCACTCAAAACCAAATTCTAGGTAAGGAACGCGTTTTATTTCAATCATTTTATCTTCATTTTATTTGCGCTGTCATCGCCATTCGACCGCTACTCTACCTAGAGTTCCTAGGAATGGACAGTGGTTGTTGATGAAATGCTGTTATGAATACTAGGAATTTCATTTCACCATCATTAGCATCAATTATTATTCGACCGCTAAATTATCCTGACCTTCATTTCATGGTGGTTGTTTATGAACACCAGGCTATTTACCCTCGCCTTCAAATGACCAGAAATTGTGCAATTGCAGAAATTGACGTGGCATTAACGTGGCATCGATTCAAGAACATCTTTGAGCACACGTGATGTCACCTTTTCATCGAGAATTTAGCCACGTGTGCCAATGCCACGTCAATTTCTGCAATTGCACAATTTCTGGTCATTTGAAGGCGAGGGTATCTATTTACTTTCACCCAAACCTACCATGTTATGCGCGCGGTTGCGTGCGGAGCTAAACTGGTCATTCTTCATTTGCTGAGATCCCATCGCTGCTGCAAGGTGCTCTACGGGTTTAGTGACAAAATTACGAGACGTAACCTCCCCTTCAAAAAGCGAGAAAGTGTCGGGTGCAGACCAAACACCACAACTGACGACGGCCTCCAAGTAAATCTGGTTAGTTGTTCATAGTGATAGCTGATTTCTGGTAAATGATAGTTGTACATACCCCCCCAAATCCTACCACTAGCCTCGAAGCGGCGAGGGGGCGAAACGGGAGAAACCCCGGCTAATAGTGGAGGTAACACCGCCTCAATGGGCTAGCTACCCGAGGGTCGGTATATTAGCTACAACACGCACAAAGAGGGTCCGGAGCGGCGCAGATGGAAGCACGAGCTCTAAGTGCACTGGAGCAAACGGCGACCTGAAGGGACCTGCAGACAAAAACCGCCGCAGGATTTGGAGTGCACAGGAAGAAAAGCCGACGAGGCATGGGGACTGTCTACGAATTTGCACCTACAACTGTCGTACCATCGCCTCAGCGGCCGACCAAACCATCTTGATGGAGGCCAGCAAGAAGCTTCGCTTTGACGTCATCGCCCTCCAGGAAACAAAAACCAAGGAAACAGCCACAAGGAAGACCAACGACGGCCACCTACTTGTTCTAGGAGCCAAAGTGGATGGAAGAAACGTTGGCGGCGTCGGATTCCTCGTCCACCAACGGATTGAGCACCTGGTCGACTCAACCGAGGTATTCGGCCCGCGACTGGCCGTTCTCCGCCTACGCATCGACAAGCGCACCTCTATCAGCATTATTAACTGTTACGCGCCAACGTCAGCAGCAACGGATGGAGAAAAAGACACGTTTTATAAGGAGCTGGAGGAGGCTACGAAGAAGGAGCGTTCGTACTACAAGTACGTTGTTGGAGACTTCAACGCAGTCATCCACGAGGAAAAGCCGGCGACAGCGCGCATTGGACCACACGGAGCCGGAGATACAAACGAAAACGGAGAACCGTTTGATGGACTTCCTAGAGCAATGCAACCTCTTCCACGGAAACAGCCTCTTCATGAAAAACGTGGGCCGAAGGTGGACATGGGAGAGCCCTAACGCAGCAGCTCACAGCGAAATCGACCATATTCTCACGAACAGAAAGTGGAGTTTGCTAGACGTCAGTGTGGTAGATGCATTCCGCACCGGAAGCGACCATAGACTCGTCCGGGCCAAAGTTCGCCTCCGAGCGAAACTCCGAAGACGAGACCACTATCGACCTCCACCCATACGACTGCCGCAGTACGACATACGTAATAACAGTACGAACTTTCGCCTCAAAAAGTGCAGCGGTACGCAAATGAAAAACAGGTGCATAACCTTCGGAATGATATTACAAGACAAAGGCGATAAGGCCTCAGAAGAAGGCATTGTCCCCCAACGAAACTATCGCGCCCGCCCACAAATCAGTGCTATTTCGCTTTGCTACTATGTACTGCAGAGAGGGCTTTAGTTTAGGCCTTGTCGCCGGTTTCTTCGCGTTTTTCCCTTGCAGGCGTTACACATTACATCTTCAGTGTCACTGCGAGCGCAATAATAAGTACATTAGTCCGACACCGGACTTTGCCTTTAATAATGAAGCACGCATTTTGGGAAAAATAACTGTAATGGGTGCAGGACACTTACGTCCCGCGCTGTCCGTCGAGGTCTGCAAGGTGCGAGACGTGATGCCGCTGGCGGCTGTCCTCAACGCATCAATATAAAACGATGGGGTTGCAGAGAAAGAAATTCACTTCAAAAACCATCTCTCCACTTGTAATGCTACAGTGCGCTCCAAAACTTCTTAGTGTGCAAAAAGGCAGGATGGGATGAATCCTTAATGTACATGAAGATGGTTTAATTACATTATCAATGCGAAAAAAAATTATATTTGCTCTGAATAACAAGAAAAGGAAGAATGCAAAACATATTTAGGTGCACAGTACAACCACAGCAAAACCACCTATAACGCCTCGTGAGCAGTTTGAGAAATTTTTTTTTTTTTGAACTAGCAGTTTGAGACTTCAAGATCATTTTTTTTCAGCTCTGAACCCATGTCCCACCGTCGAGGTACAACCTGTCACAGCTGAACCACAAGAATATAACGTTTCCAATTCCAGTGTGAGTTCCATTTCTGAGAGCGAAGAAAAGGAGAAATTTGGGTGGAAAACGAAACGACGAGATGGTTGTGATAATAGTCAGACACGAAGTATTAGGTGTTTCAGAAAGTTCTGTCGTTTTCTGACACTCCACTTTTGGATGCTTTATTTCCCTTGAAATCTGGGAAAGCTGCAATTGATGTTGATATCATTTTGAAGAGCTTTTCCAGCTCTATCCAATGCTCAGCACAACTTTTTGTCCTAAAATATTTTCTTATAGCTTTTTCAAAGCTTTGAATTCAGTATACTCGAGGAGCAAGCTGGCATGACTTTCTTTTTCTAGCTTTAAATAGACCTGAAAGTGGCGGGAACAGTTCAAGATATCAACGATGCTTTGGGCCTAGATTTGCAATAAATGTGCTCAGAAGCAGTAGTTAAAAAATTTATTGTAAGGAAGGCGAGAGCCTTGAATATGATGAGAGTAGTGGTCGGACATCGGACGGTGTCTCCGATTAGCCAAAAGTTCTGATTGAAGCACTTGTGCGTAAGACCATAGAGGAGGTTCTGGGCGTATATGGTTTGTACAGCCAAGCTATACGGAAGAGCTGACTTCGCGACAAAGATCAGCATCAATTTGAGTCGTCCATCAAATTGCCGCTTTGTCTTCAATAAAGAGCGGATTCTTCTCTATAGTCTACGAAAGTTTGCTGAATAGATCGACGGCGATGAAGCTCTACAAACTTTGCAGAATTTAAACTGTGCTGGAGGAGGGTTGTGGCAGCTTTCATGGGGCCAGCGGCTGGCCATGTTCTTCAGTATCAGATGGAACTGTTACAGTGGAGAATCAAATCTTTATACTAAGTCAAAAATCATCAAAAACTCTAAGGCATGGGTCCAGCATTCCTCATTATAAAGGAACGCACACATCCCTGAAAGGTGTCTTGAACGCACATCGCACGGCCAACCCTTCACAAGTTGTACCAGCTGAACTTCAGAGTGGTTCTGCGAACATCTTACTTAGTAGACCTTTGATCTATCTACTGTCAAATTTCTGACGATCTCGATAGCTTCCTTGAAGAGAAATACATCAAAACCCAACATGATGCTAAAACGACCTTCCCTCAGTTCATCGCCTCCAGAGGTCCAGCATTCCAAACAAACGTACCCAGTTGAACGGCTTCTTATAAAAGATTCGCGCTTTCGAATGGTTTTTTACTCAACTCGAAAGGTTCAGTCTAAGCCGAGATACGTGCATTTAAAATTAGGGGTTGGAAAACGACAGAACTTTCTGAAACACCTAATAAATATCGCCTCCTCGATTTTTCAGCTTCCAATTGCTACCCTTGATCACTAGAGATTACAACTGTTTACAAAGTTTCGCGCACAAAGGTTCAGTTTTTGAAGAGAAACAAACTCACAAAAACCGCACTCTATGGACAATCGAAGGTAATTCGGGCGGAGCCAAAGGCGGGGCATGGAAAGAAGTCCGCCTTGGGGCGGCTACGTATCAGGCGACGCAATGAAAGAATCGGGTTAAAGCGTGCGATTTTGGAGAGTAGAGACAAATCGATCGATAGAATAGGATGCAGTAGAAGTGTGAGATGTTGAATGCAATAAGTCAAAAGATTAGAAAGAGTTTCTAGTGACGGCACTCCAAGAACCAAGTGGAAGCATTCCGTCGCCAGCATTTGTGACAGATGTCCGGCGGTACTTTGAACGCGTCCAACCCTTTCGGTTTCTCGATTTTTTTTACTAAAGCATGCTTTTTTATTCGTTTCGTTATTATCCTGAGGATGCGATGGCTTTTAAGCCACTGAATTATGGGTGAGATAGAATCACGATTTTTCCGAGAAGGATTCCTTTAAATATTCTCAAAATGGTGTTTAGTTCAAAGTCAACGTTGCGGAGCTAGTACTCGGGTTTGTTTTGAACCTTTCAACTGCATAGGTGGGCTCTGAGAATTATTATCTACTCTGATGATGGGCAAGTTCTTCTTCGAATATCAGCTACTCCAACATCACCTACCACTTCCCATTACCTCTGAGAAGTCCAATTACTCAGAAGAAAAACGGTCAACTCGGGAGCCATGGCGGGTCATAAAGAATAAAAGGTCAAAGCATTATGCGTTGATCAATTGCTCTCTACGGTGCGCCACGTACTCCTCTTCTATTCAAAACCGTAGTGGCATTTTGAATGCGATTTGCTCCATACAATGACTTCCGAGAGCCAGTTTATGTCCAAATCAGTGTATTTGTTTCTTCAGAAAAGTCTGATACCGACTGAACGATCCCTAGGAATGAGAGGCCTGATTGCCCTAGATAGCTAACGCTCTAAGATTTGTACTCCAGACCGCGCATGTCGTAGCAGAGCCACATGCCATCACCGCGCTTCCGCCCCTAGCGAGGAACGAAAGTGGGACGGCAAGAAATACGGCAATAAAATCGTTTGGATTCATGTTTTACAATCCCTCTTTGTCATTAGTCAACTCACGCTTTCGAAGAACGGCATTTTCAACATTAACCCATAGGGCGGAAGTGGTGTAGTGACAAGTGGCGCGCTCACCACGCGAGCGGTCCGGGGATCAAATCCTGGGTCGTGAGTCGCCCGGGCCAACCAAGCCTTCCATCCCTCCGGGGTCGGTTAATTGGTACCAGACTTGTCTGGGAGGATAAAAACACTGACTTGAACATCGGCTGGCCCCCGCAAGTCATTGTATAGGCCACATCGCATTCAAATGCCACTGCGAATGTACAAATGGAAGTAGAATGCGTGCCGCATCCCAAAAAGGGATTGATCAACGGCAAATGCTTTATCCTTTATTCTTTATCTTAACCTTCCACATGTATCCTTCGTCTCCGGCGCCAGGTGCCTTCTGCAAACTTCACAACACAAGTGATTACTGCCTCCTACAAAATGTAACAGTTCTTGCCAACGAAATGATTGGCCTGTAGCAACTGTGTTATATTGGTAGTCGCTGATAACAAGTATAACCTATCAATTATCAGTTGTCTTTATAAAATACTAGTTATCAGATTACTGAGAGGTAACTTGTGTTGTTGAGTGCATCGCATAATTCCCTGGCCGACAGAGAAAAGCATAAGAACTCCTTTCTCAAAGCGAGCGATTACGATAAGGTCGATTTCAGTTGATGGGGGAAAAAAAATGCCTTTTAAAAAATAAATTAAAAACCCCAGTGGCGAAACACGCAAGAAATCGTCAGGGACGGGCGCCAAAATGTGACCGTCCACTCACCTTCAACTCCGGTAATGGAATCGTAGTAACGAACCGAGAGATCATTAGCACATGGAAATTCGATAGCCACCTACACAAAGACCATGATTTGATAAATAAATAGATAGGGTAAATATAAGGTTCGTCTGAGGAAGGAGCGAAACGAACCATTTTAATTATTTCTTTTATAAACGATTTTTTCTTTCCTAATTGACTGATAGTTGATAGTTTTCCATGGAATGGAACACCTTATTAAAAGGGTAATCAAACCATGATGCTGATGGCAACGTACTGACGGGCGGAGCAGAGGCGGCGGAGGCGGAGCTCAAAAAGGACTGGCAGCTCCAGGGCGCTGCAAGTGGCGCGACTTTGGTCACGGAAAGGCCACATCTCGCTTCCTCCGGCTCTAACTATTTCCACTGGTGCATGTGCTTCCATGATGCACATATGTTTTATCATAATTCCTCGCTTCCAAATCCAACTACAACTCACTCCGACGATGTTTGCTTGGTCCTAGCGGGAACGTGAGGGGTGTTTCAGCTTAAGTGGAAATGTTCTTCCTAGTCAGCGTGTTAAAGGTAAAACCGTTCCCATTCTGATGAAATGAATGGCCCCTGAAAACGCCCCTGTAATCCCATGAAGGGGAATGAGCGCCCCTACTGCACACCACCGCCCCACTCCTCGCAATGAAATGAGCAGTCAGAAATTTCAAACGCAAACGCAACTCGTCAAGCTAGTGGTATTGAGTGAGCTCCGTTTTTCCCTTTAAGAGACTTCACGTTACCCGTAGAAACAAGAATAAACGAAATTTGGTGCAATTTTTCAGAAATTTTGTTACTTGATGTTCTCTTGGAAAACTAATTAACGTGGATCACAATTAATTACAAATGGAACTCCAATGAAGTCTGCGGGGTGTTCCACATAACCCTTCAAAAAGCGAGAAAATGTCGGGTGCAGACCAAACACCACAACTGACGACGGCCAAGTAAATCTGGTTAGAAGTTGTTCATAGTGATAGCTGATTTCTGGTAAATGATAGTTGTAATTAGTGACAATCGATAGAATACAACTGCAACAGGCTAATCATTTCATTGGCAGAAAACATTAACATTTTGTGAAGGCCGTCGTCACTTGTGGTGCATGGTCTGCACCCGACACTTTCTCGCTTTTTTGAAGGAAGGTACAATACCGCCACTAACTTTTGAAATTTCTCCGCTGAGCGACGGATTTGCAGCGTCGCAAAGCGTCGCCCCTTCATAACTCCCCCCAAAGCGGGTCAAATGATTGGTGCTCTACACCATTGGACTCGTCTCTCTGTGGCGAGTCTAACCATGTGGAAAACTACGGTACTCGCCGTAAAAAATCGAAAAAAACACGCGAAAAACGCAAATTCGCGTTTCTTTTTCGTTTTTTCGTTATAACTCGCTTCAGAATTAAGATTTTCGAAATCTGAAAAAAGCATTGAACTCAGCTCGTCGAGTTCTATAAGAAATGTGCTTCTTTAACACTTTTTGGCAAAGCGACCTTACTTTCCAGATTGCGCCATGACAACTCCGACCGCTTCTACATACGAGAAACACTGTCTCCTGAACATGTGGTGCGCCATCGTAATCCCCCGCGCTTATGCAATCATCCGATCGTCCCCTCTACCAGAGGACTAGCGGTCTCACCGCCAAATTGCCCCCCCACGGAACCGCGCCCGCGTAATAGATATATATATATATATAGAATGAAAATATAACACTTGCACTTTTTTCCAGATTTCATGATCCCTAGTCCACAGCGGCGCGT